CTCTCCCTTTTTCGCCCTTCGTCCCCCCCATTTCAGACTGTTCCTCAACTCTCCCAAGAATCTCTCGGCGCCCAGCCTGCGATCCCTCCCACATCCCCCACACGCAAGCCTTCTTGGAACCTTTTTCTCCAGTGTGGCCACTGACGACTGCAATCACGACCCGTTTATCGACAATTCGACCGCGACTATTCATCGCTAACTTCACCGGTACTGGGAGGATTTTGGTTAATCGATGCTTCGACCCCCGAATTACGTGCCGATTCCTTGACGATTCTGTATTGTGGAAGAGACTGGAACGCCCGGACCCGTGTCCCTCGACACTCGCTGCATCCGCCCGACCGAGCCCACGACCTCGCGTTTTCCCCCCGACGACAACAACCCGCCACCGTCAATCGACTCCGCGAAAATTTCGAACATTGCATGGTTAATTCGATGGCGAGTGTTCGCGAATAGGAGGAAACCTCGTTAAATCCTCGCCTGCGGCTGGCCGCTCTGTTCCTCATCGACAAGCACTCGACGAGTCGGCGCCGCGACAATGGAGGACGCCGTGTTACCAGCGGCGAGTCCTCTGCCCTCTTTGGGGGCTGCCGCGGTCAAATTCGCGACTGCTGCGCCTATCATAATTGCGAACAATGGGATCAACTATGAAGAAACCACGTCCGGAGGCACGGTTCAATACACCGACATGCGCGACCCTTTTTACGCCTCAATCTTCCCAGTATGCTACGCTCTTGCCGCGACGACGGTAACAGCGTACATGCTGGTCATCATGTTATTTATTACGCCCCGATCCTTTCTCGACGGTGGAGTTGTATATCTCGGACGACGCGGAGGCTTCACTAGTGGAGGAACCTCGAACGGAATCAGCATCGGTGGACGTCCATGGCTGCAGAAAGTAGCGGCCGTGACCGTCGCGATCTCATTAACGATTGCCAGCGCCGATACCTTCAAAGTCGCCGAGGAGCAGTACCAGTGGGCTATTCAAGATGCCAAAAAGATGCAGTTGGAGGTTATGGACGGTACCGAATTGAAGGTCATCCGCCTCATTTCCGACACGTTTCTGTGGCTTGCGCAAGCCCAAACCTTGACACGACTCTTCCCACGGCAGCGGGAGAAGGTTATTATCAAGTGGACCGCTTTCGCTCTTATTACCCTAAACCTCATCTTCAGCGCCCTCAACAGCTTCCAGTACCCCTCCAGCGGGAGCAACGGAAACGCCCGCCCCCGAAGCTTCGTCGACGCCGTTCCCGCACTGAGCTACCTATTCCAACTCTCACTCGGCTTACTTTACGCCGCGTGGGTCATTTACTACTCGCTCATGAAGAAGCGCTACGCCTTTTACCACCCATTGATGAAGAACATGATTCTTGTCTCCACCCTCTCCCTCTTCGCCATTCTCGTCCCGGTAGTATTCTTTGTGTTGGATATGGCGAAACCTGAATTTACTGGATGGGGAGACTACGTCCGCTGGGTCGGTGCTGCCGCCGCCAGTGTGGTAGTATGGGAATGGGTCGAACGTATTGAAGCATTGGAAAGAGAAGAGAAGAAGGACGGTATCCTGGGACGGGAGATCTTTGATGGAGACGAAATGCTGGAAGTGTCCGCTTCCGAATTCCCGTGGCTCCGACGAAGAAAGAACCGGGGCGGGCCGAGAGATGATGGTGGCCCAGACGGTCCCGACAGTGGTACTGGCGCTCAAGGTCCTCAGTCCGGTGGCAGAGGTAACCTGTGGCCTGGCATGTCATCCATTACCAACAGGTACCGCGGTAACCACAACGCCGCCAACGCCGCACCCAATGTCCAGAATGGGCAAAGAAACAAGGGTGGCTTGCTCCGTCCGCCAATGTGGCCATCACGGCCAGCCCCCGCGGTAACGCCCGTGAGCCGTACTGACACCGCGAGCGCGGCCAGCACCGTTTATGCCGTCAGATACCAATTACCCACAGAGACGACATCGAGAACACCCGAGGTCGCCCCACATGCGACACAACGCAATGCCACTGTCGCCATGTCGAGAAGTAGCTCTTCGTCATCGAGGAGCGATTCTAGCTCTGACAATGATGAGCTTTCCATGGCAGCGCCCGTGCCGAGACAAGCCACTCACAAGGCCGTGGAGATTGACACAGAAGCTCAAGAAGATCCGTCGCTCAACAAGAAGGGGTGGAGGTCGTTGGTCTTCCGTCGCAACGCTCGTGATCCTCCCGCCGAGGTCATGGCCCAGACTGAAATGAAGGAAGAAATTCGGGGAGGCCACGATGACACGGGCCGATGGGACCTCAGAGCCCGGTTCGAGGATTTCGCCGCCACCCAGGCCGAGAAGATCAGAGAAAAGATGCGTCCGACACCCGAGACAGACAGCCTGCCGGTTACTGTCATTCCTGCGCCGCCCAGACAAGGTGCGGCTTTGGCTCAATTATTGGAGGAGGAGCGCAGCAGTCAAGATGTTCCCGAGCGAGTGGGGTTGGTGAGGACGACCAGCGACGCCTCTGCTCTCACCCCCTCGCCCGCCGCTGCGCTTTCGGCCCATCCGCCAGCACTCGGAAGAACCACGAGCAACTTCTCTCACCGATCTCCAGACCAAGCCACGCTTCAAGTCAATCGTCCGCCACTATGGCCAGGAGTCCGACCTCAACACCAGGAGTTCGACCAGCGGTCACCCAGCGTGCCACACAGCAGGCGAGCTGGGGACGATCTTGGACCGCCGCCCACTCCTTGAGGACTTTTGAGCGACTGAGTTTGTTTCTTGTTGAATACGGCAAGCGTGGCGCAGCGGCTTTTACTTGATTATTTTGCATCGCATCAGGGCGGATCACGGAAAACAACGGACGGCTACGGCACGAGCCCGTATTTCAAATTTGAAGGTGTATATTGCGGAGTATATGGATATGGTTCTATGTGTATATGGGGAGAAGGGCTCTGAAGAGGGCCAGGAGACCAAAAACAAACCGCCGCGAATAATGATGGGGCCGATATGAGCACCCTGATGTACATGTTTGGGAATGGATCAGCCCGCCGGCGAAGCGGGCTTGAAGATGGGGCGTTGACTTGTGTTCATTTGACTCGAAATATGAGTTTGGTGTTAGCGAGCAAGCACGCTCAGTGATGGGAAAGCGGTAGGCCTCATGTAGGGGACGAGACAGAAAGAGGGTGAAGGGGGTTTGAGTTAGATACCAGGAGACGTACTGGCTTGGGGAAGCATGAGGTGGTGAGAGGAAGATTAGCGACAGTCGCACCAGTGAATTCAAATGAGTTAACAATACAATTCAACGTGATGTGTTCCGTGAGATGGGTATGTTCACTCGACGCCATCAGATAGGTGTGCAAGTTACTGTCGGATCTCTTTTGGACCCCGGGTGCGTGAGCACTCCTTGTCTACTTGAGATAGTACGGGACTTCAAAGTCACGACTTGCCATATTCACCGAGAGCTTGTTCAGCAGCCTGCGCAGCAAATCGACACGAAGAAAGCACGTCTACTTCATCCCTTGAGTGTTGTTGGACAACATCGAGGCTACAGCTGACGCGGACCTTTCTCTCGTCTCACAACCTCGAAACGCCTCAGTCATTGTTCCGCACAATAGCCCCTCCCCCACACACTTGTCGGAGAACAGAATGCAAGAGTTCTGTGTTAGAGGATGATGCTATTGACCACACAGCTTGAGGTGCTGGCTGGCTGGCTCGCGAGAATATCACCGGCTTGGCAAGCACCGCAGCCAAGCTGCGCGGCCGTTTTAAACATTGAAGAAAGAATGAGACCTGGATCACCTTTATTTTTGCTACATAGCTTGAAGGGGGGGAAACTCTTGGCGCCGAGGAGGGGGTTGTGTCTCTTTGTGGAGCATCGGGTCGTTTTGACGGCTGGATCTCACACACACACACACACACTTTAAGAGACAAAGTTGCCAAGTTTACGGGTGGCTGTCCCGAAAGTGACACTTTCCCAGGGAGGAATTGTTCTGATGGGCTGGGCGGCTGCGGTAAGTAGACGAGAGAAGAGGGAAGCAGGTGTTCTACCCGGTGACGACGACGAGGGTCGCAGTGATGATGATCACGGGAGGCTGAGGCGAATTGGGTATTTCGCATGCCTGGCTTGGCTCTTGGCAACCACTTCATTGCGCCTCGTCACGGCTGACCTGAAGCTTGTTCAGTTAGATGAGCGTGTTGGGTCCCCTTTTCCCCTTTTGCCAAGTTATTCGCCTTTACGGTGGTGGCTCATGATCTTCAACACGTAAGCTTGCGGCGCCACTTCCGGGAGATACGGAGGTGGCCGCGGGAGTCAGTAATCAACAGACGGAGCCGGGGGCAGAACGCGCAATGAAGCCCCCGTTGCGTCCGGGAGGCCAACTTCACCGATTATTTGCACAATCCTTGCGACAAAACAGATGGTTCTGTGGGATGATCGTTGACAATGGCTTTCTCGGTGTGTCAGCGACTGGTGAGGGCAAACCTGAACTCGTGTGCGATATTGAAACAGACTGGCGGGACGACCAGCTTGCTTACTGTGCAGGCGAGATTTCAAGGGAAAAGTGCGAAGCTTGCATATCTCCATATGACGCTAGGTTCGGTTCGTTGCATAATCACGAGCTGAAGTTCTTGGCCTTCATCGGGCACGAGTCTTCATAGGGGCTGGAGGAAAAGCGCGCAGTAATGCTGACTTGACGCTGTCGCTGGAAAGCGGACCCTGATCCTCAGTGACGACTCTTTTTTTTGGGGAGGGGTACCGGGGCGTCGGGTCTTTACATAGTACAGCGATAACGGTATCCGTATGGGCTGGGGCGGCACGGGTGGCGGGTGTTAAAACGGCTGGTGGTGGGCGGGGAACTGTGTTAGACGTGTTGGTTCGGTAGTGGGGTTGATAACTGACATGCGAGGACTGGATATGGAGGATGCAAGGTACCTTGCAGTGATTACTTTGTCTGCATCTCATTTTCCCACCAGCACGAAGTGAATATTCTCAGGACAGGCGCTGCACCCTCGACTCGATATATACATTGAACTGAGGATTTACCGCGGTGGGAAGTGCGCAGTGTTGTAGCAAGTCGAGAATAGATGACGGCGGGGTGGCGGCTTAGATTAGGTCCGAAGCGTTGCCAAAGTGGTAACGCGAGTTGGGTGTGTTGATGCAACCTGGTTCATGGCCTCAAAAGAACGACACCCGCTGATTAAAAGAAATACTTTTGAGATGGTGTAGTTACTGATTGTCGGCGCTTGCAAGAGTCGATGTCGAAACAGGGCGGGAAAGGTAAGGCGCCGGAGCTGACCCCGAATTCCAATCGGGATCATCGGCCAATGGAACGAGGTGGCCGCTAGATTTCTCGAGCGAGTCTAGCGATTTGGTTGGTAACCTTTGATCAGGTCCATCGCCTCACATTGTATCGACATATGAGGCTGCAATCACAAGGGCGCCCTCTTCCGCTCGTGTTCAAATTGTTTTGACAGCCTCGTTATGCCCATCTGGTAGGAAATGTGGCCGTAATATGCAGTCTTCTCGAGTCTTCTCAAGCAACAGCGAGATGGGGATTCTGATTTCTATCTCGATCTCGATCCCGACCGCACAGCGGGCTTGACTCGCCCGCCGAGCCTGCCAGCTCAGCTCCAGGTGGACACCGTCGCACCTTTCTCGTCGTTGACCGGGGACATGTCTCTTTGCATGTCGTCAGGCTTTAATGTGGACGAGGAATGCAGTGCCATGCTGGCGTTGCAAGAGGGATGGTCCCAGTAGAGTGGTTGACGTTGTGTGCGCGTGCCAATGCACATGCAAGTTGGAGGTGGAGTTGAAGAATGCGGGACGCATCTCCATAGTGTTGGCGTCGATATTGACTACAACGCTTGTTCACATGGCACGGCTTCCAATGTTCCAGAACCATGCCATTCTCGAAAAAAGCCTGTGTCCCGTCAGAAGTAGTGGCCTGGGTCTTTCTTTGCCTGAAGTGCCTTACTCAGAAAGCCCCCATTGCGCTTTCTTGGAGTTGCTCCCCGAGGGTCGGTACTGCGTAGTGTCACCAGCACAGCACGCAGGTACGGTGCATCGCTCCCGTGCAGGTGGGGACCATGGAGGATTGCCATGCAAGATGAGGTAAGTGTAAGCCGGCCAGGGTGCGCGGGTGTGGAGCGTTGATGGGAGGGGCGCCCCGACGAGGTCCCGGCAGATGGAGCCCCGGCTTCGTGCAATTTGGTTGGCCAATAGCTCTCGACAGCTCCCCTTCTTGGCATGTTTTTTTTTCCCTTCCTTCCTTCTTCTCCGTTGCGCCATCTTTTATTCCTATTACTCCTTATGTTTGCTTAATTTCACCTTGTCACTGTCTGTCTGTTTTCTCCATTTCAAACATCTCGCCCGCCCTGCCTGCCTTGCATCTCCTGACTGTCCGTTCTCCCCGGGCTTGCTTCCCGCTCTGACCCCGTTGGCAGGGCCTGGAAAGAGAAGCAAAAACAGACGACTGGCTGGTCGCCGGTCAGACGAATTCGACGACGAAACAAAGCAGGGCCAGGGAACACCCTTGAGACGGCCTTGGACCTCGTTGTACGGTTCCCGAGTAAGGCACCACTTCACTTTGACTGTCGCAGCTGTTGCCTCTGCCTCTGCCTCTGCCTCATACTGCTCCTGCTCCGCTCCACAGACCCGCCAAACGGTGCAGCGTTCGCCTTACCTTTTTTTGCCCGCACTTCCATGATCGACAACGTGCCCCCCTGACCATCTCGACGTCTAATAACCAACAACCTCCTTTTCACCCACCTCTTGCCCTGTCCGGCATTCTTTCTCCACACCCGCAAGAAAGTGCTCTAGAACTCAAACCCCGACATCCTTTCCTCCCTTCCAATCTTTGTCGAATCGTCCTGCCTCGTCCATCCATCCCTCCCTTCCACGTCTCTCCCTCGAGGTCACAAATCAGTCAGCTTTCCGCCCTCCCCGTCCCGCGCCTCCAGCTGCTTTAAACGAACCGAGACACCGTCCCAAGAGGACCTCTTTTGCGACAATGGCCGACTCCGAACCTTTCCCTCTCCTCAACACCTCCGTCGACCAATTGCACTCCGTCATTGACCACCATTCCTCAAATTCCTCCCGCACTACGCGACGTCGGAAGTCCAGTGCCCTCGGCCAGGATATTCGTGCCGGTGACACAGGCCCTGCACTCGCAAGCTACACTGCCGGAGACAGCCCCATCCCACCAGTAAGTGCTCATCCCCTGCTATCCTCATCTTGAAGAAGCCTGTAGCTGGACATTCCAGTTCAACATCCCCTCCTCTTTCTATGTTGACTCAACTGACAACCCCGTTTTCTCACCTCAGTCAAGTCCTACAACCAAAAGAGTTTCAAAACGCCGGCGTGCACGCGGCGTCCTCTCTCGTTTCCGTCAGGCCATGATCAGATACACCTACCTCGTTCCCGCCATCGTCATCGCCATCTTCGGCGGCGCATACGCCGTAGACCCCTCCGACTCGAACACTGCCTCTCGCTTCATCTTCCTCTCGTACCGTCTGCCTCCGGACCCGGCCAAGCCCGATGCACCAATTCAATATGGCAAAGGACTATGGGACATAGCCTTCGTGGGTTTCTGGACCATCGTCCTCACTTTTACTCGCGAGTTCATCATGCAAGAATTCTTGCGCCCGCTAGCTCGTGCCGCTGGTCTTCGGTCTCGCGGAAAGCAGGCTCGGTTCATGGAGCAAATGTATACGGCTATATACTTTGCTTGTCTGGGTCCTGCCGGCTTGTATGTCATGAGCAAGACGCCTGTCTGGTACTTTAGCACACGAGGCATGTACGAGGACTTTCCGCATGTGTCTCACGAGGCCGGGTTCAAGTTCTATTACCTATTCCAGGCCGCGTACTGGGCACAACAAGCCCTCGTTCTGTTACTTGGCCTTGAGAAGCCTCGCAAGGACTTCAAGGAGTTGGTCGGGCACCACATTGTTAGCCTTGCTCTGATTGCCCTGAGTTACCGCTTTCACTTCACCTACATGGGACTAGCTGTTTATACCACTCACGACATTAGCGACTTCTTCCTCGCTGTAAGTTTCCGAAACCCGCATTAACATACTTTGTAAAATCCGGCCGGGGAAGCGGCAAAGGGAACAATTTACTAATAAGTGCCATAGACTTCCAAGGTGCTCAACTACATCGACTCGCCGATTGTTGCACCATACTTCTTCTTCTTCGTCAGTGTTTGGATTTACCTGCGTCATTACATCAACCTCAAGATCATCTTGTCACTTTTCACCGAGTATACCACTGTCGGCCCTTTCGAGTTGAACTGGGCCACCCAGCAGTACAAGTGCACCCTGTCTCAGTACATCACCCTCGGCCTCCTGGGCTCTCTCCAAGCCCTGAACCTCTTTTGGCTTTTCCACATCTTCCGCATAGCTTATCGCTTTCTTGCCTATGACATAGCCGAGGATGACCGGAGCGAGGCGGAGGGCACGGATGCCGAGGACGAAACCCAGCAGAAAGCTTTGCCTGCAGAGACGACCAACGGTCACACGACGGGCGCGAGTACCAGTGCGGCGGCAAAGGCCAGGGCTGTCAACGGCCGCGCGAGATAAACAATTCTGGCAAGGAATTGAAACGATGCATGATATTTGGTGTTTTTGGTTCATGAAGTCATTCGCTTGCATAACAAGACTGTCGCGCATTGCAGGTGGTTACGGGTCAGCCTAAGAAGAAGGGGAAGATGTAGCACGAAAAAACTCATCAGGCGACAGTTCGACTCCACAAGCATCGCCGGCTCAACGCCGCCAACGATGAAAAGGTTCATCGGATCACGATACCTAACACGAGCTGGGATGGCGCCGTTGTTAGCCGCAATCCGCTGATGGAATCGCAACGGCCTGCGGACTCATTCAGTGCCGCAGGTGTTCATCGTAAGCCCACCGTCCACGAGACGCGTGACGAGAGCTTTGGTCTCCCGAAACGAACGGAAAATTCGAGGTCGGCCGACAGGCGACTGAACAGAAAATGGCGGTTATCTGCGGCGAAGAGTAGCCGGGGTTAGCTGGCTGAACGAGAAGCATGACTGTGGCTGAGGGTGAGGTGCCAAGACACACAAGGTGTCGTCGGTTCGTGTTGGGTGGGTTGTGCGTCTGTGGATGAAGTGAGACAGGTGTGCGTCTGTGGACGATGACGGCGCACCCTCCTCGCGCGCGATTCGACCACCCCCTTCACACCGCTTGCGCCCGCGCATGTGCACCAATCGATGCACGCACTCACTTCTCATGCTCAATAGCATCTGAGTCTGAATCTCACACAATAAAACCTCATGACAGCGCGCGCGACGCTGGGGACCGGATCGGGACTTGCGAGCAAAAGGCGATGGACATTTTGTGTGGTGATCTTCGACTGAGACCACAATCCACCTCGTTCCTCGGAAATGTTGCCTTGAGGAACGCAACAGAGAAACCTAGGATGATTGATTCGGCATAGACAGCGCCTGATACTGGTTGCGGGACGGACGGAGAGGGAGACCAAAAACGGAATCCATGGCCTCGTGCGCCGGGTTGTTGCGGAGGACCGAAACTTAGAGACGCTCTGCTTTTCCTACGATACCAAGTAGTCCGTAACGACGAGAGTTTGACGTTTGACCTCAATATATCTACACTCAAGGAGATACAATTACATGTGTGCTGGGCCTGATCGAGAACGTGTTCGCTGTCGACCATCCTAGCGCGGTCGCCTACAACTGCATCATTACTTGGACACGACATCATGTTACGGAGTTGTACCTTCAACAAACCTGCCTATTTTCGGCAGCAAGCAATTCTCGTCTTTGGCATTTCTCTGCCTGACGATATGTCTTTGGACCGTAGCTGTGAAGCTGGCATTTGTAGCCCGCCCCTCCCACCCCCCCCCCCCCCCCCAAAAAAAAAAAAAAAAGGAAAGTATGAACGCAAAGAAAGCTCGGTGCAAGTAATGCCGTGAGAATTCAAAAGCAAGCGTCAATCCGCATCGGTGTGGGCAAAGTTAATCCTCACTCGCCGGGGAGTCAGGGAGCGATGCCAGAATCTCGTCCTGCGTCTCCGTGTCGTCGGGCCAAGCTGGCAAATCCAGAGACGCGTATTGGTCTTTGGTCTGCTCCTCGAGCTCTTTTCGGAGAATCTCAATTGCTAGTAGCCAACGCCGTTGCAATCTCTGCTTGCGGTCATTAAAAGTTCTGACCAGGGTATCTTCTTCTTGCGCAAAATCCGTTGCCAGATTCTCTATCTCCTGCTCTTTCTTATCCGTCAGCTTCTCAAGCTCCTGCTCCTGGCGTTCCAGAAGCTCTTCCATTCGCTTAGCCTGCCGATCTCGTAGGACATTAATCTTCGCTTGATGCAGTCGCTCCATGCCGTCTCGTACGTTGTACTGTTGTCCCAGCAAGCGCAAGTCTCTCTCAGTGACAACTCTCGGCGGCAAGTCCGAGTTTTGGGTTCGGCCGAGTCCATCGCAGTATGCCTCCATATGCTTCAAACGGATCTTGACGCTCTTCTCGCTTTGGTCCAGCGTTGATCTCAGGTCCATCTCGGCCTCGATTTGTCGTTCCTCAAGATGAGCTGCTGTTTTGGCATGGCGTTCCTTCATCTTCTCGATCAGATCCGAGTACCTGTCAACGGTTGCTTGCTTCTTCTCCGCTTGTCGAGTCCACATGAGCCACTTCGTTTTCCGCATGTAAACACGGAATCGTTCCAACTCTTCCGCCATCAATTCATCCAATTTGGCGAATTGTGGGCTGCCTCGTGTGCGCTTTTCCGCCTCGACTTTCTCTGCCGCTTCGGCAGCCGCGGCAGCTTCTTGGGCTGCCTTCTCTGCCTCCAGCTCGGCTTCTCTAGCCTCTTCCTCCATCCTGCGCCGCTCTAGCTCTTCGTCCCCGTTGCAGAAGTTGGGACAGCCTACCGACGGGTCCCAGATGGCGCCGCAAATGTAGCAAAATTGAGCCTTGCATCTGCACGTCATGTGAGTACAACCCTGGCTCAGTTCGACCAACGACCGGCACTTGTAACACCTTCTCCAGCCAGACTTTTCACCCATCTTCAACACGGCTTCCAGTTCCCAGTCCGACGGGCAGTCCTTTCCGATGGCGTGTGCGTTTCGTTTGCACATTATGCAAACTCTGGTCCGGCACTTTCGGCAGACGACATCGAAGGGGTGTTTGGGATCGATTCGGTTTCGGGGAGGAATGAACTCGCCGCATGCTGTGTTTGGGCAAAAGACTCTAGCTTCCCAGGGAGTGCTGAATTGTAGCACCGCCTTCAAAAACGCATGCTGCTCCTCTCGGGTGAGTATCTTCTGGATGATGGATCCCGGAATGGGTTGGGTGCAGCATCGCGGCGGCATCTTGGACTCATCTGTCGTCGCCTGCTGGATCATTATGCCGAGGCAGTCGGCGCAGTAGGTGTGGCCGCAGGGCAAGCTGTGCAGATCACTCGGCTTGTTGAATTCGTTGCGACAGCATATACAAGAACTGGTTTGGTGTTAGCGGGTGAAATTTCATCTCAAAACAGGCCATCGCCCTTACATCGTGGACTCCATGAGGGCGGACCGCCTCTTCCATCGAATCTTTCTAATGCCCTCCTTGATACTGAAGTAGCTCCTTCTGGTGGACACGCTGAATAGGCTGTGCGTAGATGGGTCAAGGACTGCTGGAAGCGGCGCCTTCTGGATCTTGGGTTGGTGAATATTAGGGTCCAATTGTGACAGATACTTGTCGTAGTGCGAGAATGTAAGGCTCTTGGATCTCTTCCTTGCCAGCGAGTTTGGTGGCACGTCGGCCGTGGCAGCGGTGAACGGAGCCGTGTTGAGAGAGGGATGGGAGGTCAAGGTGGTGCTCGCGGAATCGCGCGAGGCGGTGGAAAAGGTCCGTACATGCTGGGTCGCAACGGTTGAAGCTCGCGACTCGGGGCCTGCATCGGTATTTTCTGGCGTAAGCCCTGAAGTAGATATACCGAGTGCCGTGGCCTTCGCGACCAGTTCTTCGTCGATGGCGGCCTCGGTGGTTTGGGTGGACAGGCGCAGGACTTGGTCAAGATAGTCTGCCTCATCGTCCTCGGGGGACGGCAGGGCAGCCGGGCTAGAGGCCATGTCGGGAGTCGAGCTCGTCTGGCCGGTGAGCGAGCCCATGGCGGGTTGCGAGGGGCTGAAGAAGTACAATGGTCAAGTCAGGGCAGCGCAAGCAGCGGCATCGTGGTTCGGGTCTCGGTGTGGTTCGCAGCTCTCCGGGCCACGCCGGCCGGTCAAGCAGGTGAATGACGAGGGCACACGACTAATTGTCGATTAATGCGCAGTGTTTTTGAAACGGCAGTTGCAAGTAGTGACTTGACATCGAACGGATCGAGGGGGAGCCGGAGAAAGGATGAACCCACGAGGGGACAGCGGCAATGATAGGACGAGAGGTCAGCCAAGGTTTCTGCGCGATGGCGGACAAAGGCGGGCAGGCAAGGAGGGCCCAAGGCGGGAAGGGAAGCACCCCCAAGGCTGGCTTGTCTTGTCTTGTGGTGTGAAGGTCGGGTCGGGTGCAGGTGCAGCAGGTGCAAGTGCAGGGCGGGAGGACGACGAGTGACCTGCGAGTGAACTTTCTGGATTTTGGGGTGTGCGATTTGGAGTAGGAGAAGAAGAGCGAATTGGGATGCGGCCTGGACCGCGGGCGTGTCTGACGGATGGAATGATGCAAGGTTTCTGGCGAAAGATGAGGAGGGGGGCTGAGAGGAGGAGTAGAATGCGAGTGTGCGACTTGCAGCGCGGTCGGAAGAGGGTCGAGTCAAAGGGCGGTTGACGGCAGGGCGAAAGCGCGGTTCTTGGGGACCCTTGAGAATGACGAGGGGGCGACAGGCTAGACCAGGGCGGGGGTTCAAGTAGCGATTGAGTAGCAGCCGGGTATCATCTGAATGCCGGGTTGATGAGGGGCGACAACGATGGTCGATGAGGATTGTGAAAAACACACAAAGAAAGTGAGAAACACGTCCAACGTCCCGACTGAAAGGGCGAGAAAGGGTTGGCAGGCGAAGAGTGTGTGCGCGTGTGTAGATGGCCACCAGCAAGTGGATGAATGATGGACGGAGGGCGAGAGAGAGAGAGAGAGGAAATAAGTTCGACAACGGCGACGAAGTGGGTATTGCGGGCTTCGTTTTCTTTGCTTATTGTGCAGCAATTTTGCTTCTTGTTGCTGTCGAGTCCCCAGGAAGCGCCGGGTGCAGGTGGGACTGTGTGATTTGGACTTGATTGTTATTCGCAGTCGGCTGATGTTGAAGAGGAAAGAAATCCTTGGTTGGTGGTCTACTGCGTACCGTATCCGTAGGGGCACTGGGGGTCGTCGTTGGCCGTTGGCGTTGGGCCCTTGCTGAAGATCCCAAGTGGATGGGGACAGCAAACCGGTGCGGGCTCAGACAGCTAAGTCAGAACTGACCAAAACGCCGATGATGGTGGAGAAGGGTGACGGGAGGACAAGGACACCACCGATGGCGACCTCCTTCCTGGCTTGCTGGGCTGCGACGAAAGATGGTGGAGGGCGACAGCAACGCTGAGCAGGGCAAAAAAGAAAGCACATGTGTTTGGGTGTGGTTTGAAGGGCAGGACAGAGCAGAGCAGAGCAGGATAGAGTAGAGCAGCAAGCAGAGGTGAGTGAAGCGTGATCTCTCTGGCTTGGTGGTTTCCCACCTTCCCTGCCTTAACCAATGTGCTAAGGCACCGTCTGAGAAATGACAAAGATGGGCAACTCCTCCGAAGAACTTTTGGGATTGGTGTTTCCTGCCGCTGGCGCCACATCTGATGACCTGATTTCCATTTCCTGCATAGCCGACCAGGCGGGCTCAAGTGGCGGCACCGGCCAATGCGTGAAGGCGTTGCGCCGCGAGATACGCGACGTGAGACTGAGTCTAGGTGCCCTTTGGCCGGTGGCCCCATACGAGAGATACAAGGTCGTCTCGTCTGGCATATCTAGGTACCTACCCAGGGAGGACCAGACCGGCGCTGTCACAGCTAAGGGAAGGTACGTACCGCTCTCGTACCTGGTAAGGCAGGAGGAGACTTGGGTGGAAGTGGACGATTGCCCTTTAGCTGAGGGACACTTACCTGAGATGCTGGCCACTCTCTAGGTTACCTGATGTAAGCTGGAGGCACCTAAGAAAGATTGCAGCGAGGTGGCCCAGTCCGTCTGAGGTACATTGCAGTTGCAATGTGCCGTGCATGCAGATACAATGGACACGCTCTGCTTTGTGTTATGTCACCCGCAGCCCTTTCCTTGCTTGGCCGAATCACCCAAGCGACATGCAGAAACGAAGCTGCCGTCAAACATGCAAAAGGTAGATTTGCATCTCATGCTTGCCTTGCCTGTCCTTCTCCTTCTAATCTGCTTTGTATCTAGACTTTTCTTCCGCACCTCCATGCCCACCACCTATTCATGACTTAGTACCTGACGGCGGCACAAACACAAACGGAACACCACCACCACTACCACCACCACCAATTATTGCATGTCGACCTGAATTAAGCGCCGTCGCCGGTGGGCCAATTTACACTGCCTTTCCACCAGCACTGCCTATCGCGGGAGGCTGCCGATAACACGATGGCCCAGTCCGATTCCAGCTGCCCTTGCCCCGTCCATCTCATGCCCGAATCCCCATCAACATCCCCCATTTTCAAGGCTCCATCCAAAGTCCCCTGCCCCGGACACACAGACGTCCGGCGGTGAAGCAAACACGACGTCTGCTGTCTCCAGCACCCAGGTTTCTGAAGCACCCAAATCTCGATGCTGATTACGGATGCCTTGGTTCGTTTGCATATCGGGTCACTTGCACCGCCCATCTTTCCCTGACCCTGTTCCCCGCCCCAGGCTCCTCGACGTTATTGTCATGCTTTGCGGTTGCTGACAGCATATCGGTCCAGGATTCCAGACCTGATCCCAGGCCCACGTCTCTTCCCGCACGGGTGGACGGGGACACTCCGCGACCGGGCCACCAGCCTCAGCGCCAGATGTTTCCCGCATTTCTGCGGTTACTGACGTCCGGTCTCTCTCCAAACAGAAGCAATGGCAGACTCTCCTGCCATGCTAGCTCCTTACAACCGACGAAGGGCTTCGACTGAAAGTACAATACGGATAACAATAGTACGTAAACATCAGCCCACTTCCCCAAGAAAGCCCCATCCCAGTTCCGCGCGACTGGGGTCTAGCTACATGCGAATTGCTAAGCCTCATCCTCAATCTCCTACCCCTTCTGTTTCTCATCTCTCACGGATGTCCGCATACGCCGTCAATATTTGCGGTAATTGGCCATCTTCGTGGCCAACATTGACTTACAGACTACCCGTGTTTACGACGCCGGGAAGCAATCGAATTCTGTACGGATTCACAGCTGCGCGGCGACAATGCCATTCCCCTCAGGAACCTCCATATTCAACGTGTTGCACGTCAAGTCCTGGCCCCTCAGTCTCCAAAAGCTACTTGGATGCTACATTCAAAACCTACAGCTCTCAACTGCTCGCCACTTAAGCTTTGAAAATGTCCGTGAGACCTATAGGATCGATAATAAGGCCGGCCGATGGCTCAAGCTCCCAGTTGCTCTTCAGCCATTTACAAACACTCTTATTGAGGTCATGACTCTGGGCTTCTTCCCCCATTCGTCGTGCGGCACACCATCTTGACTCAAGATAATAGATCCCCGCAAACCAACTCAACTCATTTATTCTCCCCCAACTCTATGGAGCCTGTCCAGGTCGACGCTTTTCTCTGTTTGCCATGTTCTGCATGCTCACATCGGGAACCATCTTACGCCCTCTATAGCACTAGTGGGGCACGCTCCCGTCCGGCCCCACGCCGGCCGACGTGTCTCCGCTGTCAACTCCGGGTCCCGTCTGTGGACCACCAGCAACAGTGGTCTAGACAATGGATTGAACCAGACTCCATCATGTTGTGTTCACGCTCGGGCTCCCACGGAGAACGCCGTAGGGCGCAATGAATTCAGCCCTAGGCCGTGCGTACAATGGCGACCGTATCCGTTGGAAGCAGTTTGAGCAGCTGGGCGCCGTCCCCCCTGGGGCCTCAGGCATTGCAGCTATCGACATCGTGTCAACAATCATTCCAGCCCTTTCGATTTTGAGTTGGAGCAACGAGATAAAAGTTGGCTGATGATCTACGTTAGTAGGTCTTGGAACCCGATAGCCTCACTGGCGGACCAACCGGAACTCTTGTGTGCTGGGCTGCGGAGCTCTGTTGCTATGAAGCCCGGACCAGACGCTGACGACGTAGGAGCTACGGAGTTGTGGTGCAAGGAGCTTTGGTATTTCTGCTAAACCCCGCTGAATCCTTCGGGTTTGCTTAGAACTTACAGCTCAACCTTCAGCAAAACATGCAATCAGAGTGAAGAGATCAAGCTCTATTTCCGAGCTTCCGAGCCCTCGTGCTCGTACGACTTGGACGATGGTTTGCAGCGGCAGCGGACTGGACATGAATCCCAAGACTCAACAAGACCTGGCAGTGTACTTGCCAAATCGGTTGATCTCTAGGTATGCAAGCGATTGTGAACGGGCATCATGGTTCGGAGGTTTGGACGTTTCGCTCTCGGATTCCATGACGACACGAGCACCTCGTGGCCATCCTGCACGCTGGAGCAAGAAAGCGGCACGGTGCCTTGAGAAACGCTCACCCGAGTGGTCTGGCCAATGTTTGACTTTGGCCCGGCGGCCGGGCTATCCCCTCAACGGGCGAACCTGGAATGAAGTACAGACGAAAGATGCTCGGTTGGCAGGGTCATCTCTAGCATTGAGGCAGAACCGACGTTTCTCGGGAGCTAGGGACAAATTAGACTGCTGAGATATCGTTTGCCTCTTTCTCGCCCTGTCCGCGAACCCTCATTGAGGTGTCCATCGCGATCTAACCTCGTGACATTGACCCAGACCAACGGCGATACTCGGCATCCTCTTCTGCCGGTTAGTTGCTTTTCTGGAGAAGCTTTGCTAATGAGTATGCTTAAGTAAACGATGACCAATTCAGTTGAGGTTGATCACGTCTTGCAAAGCCATGCTCTCGGATCTCAACCCATCGACGCAAATGACAGGGCAACAATGCAAGGGCCTGTCTTTCCAGCTCACCCTGAATGGCATCAACGCCTGAAAAGAAATGCACACCTACAACGCCACCAGAAGTGATGCAACAGACCGCCACTTTCCAGCTGCCGGCAAGCTCAAGCCAATCGAATGGCATCATCGCCAACCGCCGGCGCAGCGAGTCAGTCAGGTGCAGCAGCAGCAGTAGAAACACCACTTCCTGAGCGGCCAGGGCAAGGGGTCGAAGATGTTTGGACCAATTCGAAAAGCAAGGCACACCAAAACCTCTCTTTCGCTACCTTCTCCTCTGCCAGTAGGAAACCATGGAGCCATCTCCGTCGGCCGAAACGGCCGCGCTTACCTCGAGAAGCTCTGGCCTGCCCTTTGTAATGAACCCCACGATCAACGCGCGCCATGCCATGCGGCCAATGATCTCATGTGCCAGTGCGCCCATCGCCTCGTTTTCGTTTCTCCTCCCAACGTCTTTGGCGAGACACTGGTAACCTGGCTGGCTGGCTGTCTTCCCGAAGCCCCAAGTGGTCTGAAAATAGCAGAAGCTAGTCTTCAAAGCCTTTAAGAAGATGTCTCAAAATGAACACAGGAAGAAAAAGAAGACTCGCCATTCCGAATAAAACGCGGACGAACCGCGGGGTCAGCAAGCGAGAAAGAAAAGAAGAGCCCTTTCGTCAGAAAAATGGTTCGTTGTTTGAAACAAAAGAAACAAGGGCAAGGGGGCCGGAAGAGCGTTTCCCTTCCTTGTTGTCTCTGCGCAGCACAAAGCCGAACACCGATTGTGACGTTTTCGGAACCTCAGCCTGACTATCAACTTACCATCGGTCGAAGAAGGTAGTTCACCCCAGAGAGAACAAAAGGTGCAACTAGAAAAGGTTTAAGCTTCAGCATTTAGCTGGATCGAGTAGTCGCAGCCGCCACGGCGTGTAGCGGAGGGTTGTTGTGTGCCCATCTCGAATCTGAGGGATCCTGCAACCCCTCGACGCGCGAAGTAAGTAGTTGGTTCGGCGCTTGAAAGCATCCAATCAGATCGGACCAATAGATAAAACTGGTGTCAAGTCACTGTTGAGAAAGGTCAAATGAGACTCCACAGCCGAGTAATTCCATCTTTTCGTTCTATTTGGAGGGGTATAACTTGAAGTGGTTAAAAAGTCTGTATCGTACAGGCATGCGCATGTAAACTCCTGACAATGAGATGAGAAGATGATGGGCCCCCTGGGGAGTGTATGTACAGTACGATACAATAGTGATGTACACTGATTTACAAGAAACGAGGCGGGAGGAGAGGGGAGGAAGCGTTGGGATTATTCATCAGCACTTGTCGTCGGCGGCTCCTTCTCTCTTCCCTCAAAGCAGCGGCTGTTTTGCCTCTCCCTCTTCCGGAACGCCGTGGCCCACTCCGTCTAAAGGTTGTCTTGCGCCGATCCCGAATCACGCGAATCCTTCGGTGGCTCGAGTACAAGGGGCGCTTGGCTTTTCAGCACGGAACAGCAAAGCTACGATATCGCCCCCACTCGTTTACTGGAACCACGACTTCTTGGCGGCCGTTTTGGAGCTGGCAGCGGCTGCCTTCTGGTTCGTCACCCGTCTGAACTTTTCGCGATTCCGGGCCTCGAGGAGGCCAACAGCGCCGTCGTCCTGGAACCAGTGCTGGCTTCCGCCGCGGCTGGCTGGGCCGCTGGCGCCGGCGTTGCGGGTGGTCAGGGGCCCGCGCTCGTCAAACATCATCTTGACGCGCTGGACCTTGCGGAGCTTGACGAGGCCGTACCAGCAGACGAGGAGGGAGAAGCCGCAGGAGATGGCGGTGACGCCCGCGAAGCCCCAGTTCGTCTCCTCGATGAAGTTTTCGAGGTTCATGCCGTAGAGGCCCGCGAGGAAGGTGCCCATGGCGAGGCCGAGGGTGCCTACGGAGAACTTGAGATCGAGCAACATGAGGGAGTTGCGGTTTGCGTCCAGGATGGCGCGGATGCTGGGCGGAGAGTTAGCTAATGTGGCGTCTGGGTCAAAGGGATTTTGGTTCACATACATCTCCTCGGTGTTGCGGATGCTGGAAACCAAGTTCTGAGCCTCCTGAACGATTTCGTCGCAAAGCTTGTTGTACGACTCCAAGAGCAACTCGACTTCCGTGTGGTCGTCCACGCCGCGGTACAGATCGTGTGCCTTCTCGGTCAGGTACATGGCCGCGAGATCGTCGTCAGCCTCCAGCAGCTCCTCGATGGCGTCCCTCACGAGCTTGGCCTTCTGCTCAAAGGTGCTCACCCGCTTCGAGAGAATGAGGAGGATACGAAGCTTGTGCCGGTCGATATCGTCCTCGAGCTCGCTGAGGACACGGATGACGGGGTCTCTGACCGATTCAAAGTCGGCTTCCAGTTCCGAGGTGACGGATGTCAAGACGGCTTCGAGAGCGCGAAATTCGTAGGGCAGGCCGTTGACGCCGCCGTGTGCCTGCTTTTGCTTCAGTTTGCCTTGCAGATCGTACATGAAGGCCGACTGCGGGTACGAGGTCTTGGAGCCGTATACATCGAAGAGCAGCACGCGGTCCTTCTTGATGAGCACTTTCAAGTGCAAGAGGTTGAGAAGAATCGCCGACTGGCGGACTAGAATGTGAGGCAGGTTGGAAGAGTCGATCTTTCGCAGATCACGAGGCAGAAGGCCATACTGTAGCAACCCTCGTCAGCATATCCGGAACTTCCAAGGAATGTGCGCAGCCGAGTCGAACCTTTGCGATCAGCTCCGTCTTCTTGAACTCCCCATCCACCAGGATAACCTCGCCAGTCTCGTCCACCTCGGTACATCGCAGCCTCGGTTCCAGCGCAGCTTTTGCGGCTAGGATTCGGCGATTGTTGAACATCGAGCCAGCCTCGCCGTCATCGTGAGCAGGGAGGTCATTGGGTTGTAGCGGTTTGGCCCCTCCCCTTCCCTTCATACCCCAAAGCCTCTCCTTCCATGTCCGGCGCGGGGCGGAAGATTCGTCACCGCAGGCATCGCGCCTCATGCATGTCGTGCTGAAGGAGACAATCGTTGCGCCACTGCGCTTGCGAGTTGCCCGCAGTGTGACGAGCTCGGGTCTGCGGGGCGAGGTTCGAAGCAACTCGGGTCCCTTGCAGGTCGTGGTAATCGATCTCACACCCGTCCTCGGAGTCCTCTTTGCGGGACACTGTTGGTTATGAGCCGCAGGTCGAGCCTGGCCAGGTCGAAGAGCAGCACACCGGCCCGGGCCGAACACTGACGACGTCTCCGTTTGCGATCGCAGGAATCGAAGTAGGCTCGTCGAGGGCACCGGGGTGCGTAATGGCGGAGGCATCACGAACAGCCGACAGGTCGCACACACAGCGGCTCAGCTGAAGATGCACGAGGCCACTTGCTGGCGGTCGTTTGAAGATATATCGCAAACCAACAATTGATGCCACGAGCTTTCCTGCTGCCAACACTTTTTTTCGGCCGTTTTTCCGCGCAACGGGAAAGAGTTAGAGTCGGGTCCGCATGCACGGACCAGGTGATTACACACCGTCCTTGACATCATTGGTCACTGTGCTCACACTGTCTAACCCACAACATGGAAATACGCTCTCTCACAGGGCATTTCTCCTGTCGAAGCCAGTGAAGGGTTTTCCTTAGATCGGGGTATTAGCATCTTGGGGCGGCATACTGATTTGCGGGCGACTCTTGCTTTTCGACGTTTTCTTCTCATTCGCCGAGTTTTTGATAGCCGATTTGGTTTGGGATATTCGAGGTTTAATATCGGCGGCTTAAGGTTTTTTCACTTACACCATCCTTACCTCAGCGTCGGCCGTCTCTTGAACCATCCTCGATACCCCTCCTCCACCCGCCCGGCTTGTAAGTTCGGCACATCTCCAAGCCTCATATTGTTCTTCATTTTTCTAGAATGAAATCGGAAAACTGACAGTGTCTCAGGACACTTGCGGAAAACGAAGAAAGTGGAACCGGCGTCTTCGTATGATGAAGTTGACTCCCATCAGAGTCAGAGGCAAACGCAAAGCCGCCTCGTCCCCGTCAACCCCCCAACCGGCTCAGAAAAGGAGATCCCGTCTTCCGGCACGCCGGGATACCAAGCGTGCAACCCCGGTGGAGCACATGCCCCTGGAGATCCTCGAGCGCATACTACTCTTCAGCGAAAACCTCAACTTGCTCAGGTGTAATAACAGAATTGGCGCCTTACTTTCTGGTCGAGGAACTCTCATCAACGTCATCATCAGTGCCTTTCACTCTACCTGGGACTGCTGGTTCGGGGTCGACCGGCATACGATCAAGACTGTCTTGAAACGCGGCGCGACGGATGAGTCGAGGTCGTTCAGGAGATATGAGAAGTTTCCCGAACTCTTTCCAGGGGACCCAGAATTCCAGGCACGTACTTCACGTCTAAGCAACTTATGACTTCCATGCTAACTATCAAACAGTCTTCCGTGCTAGCCAGCTCGTGGATCAATGTGAATTTGATATTTGAGGCCCGGCAGGTCTGGGCTTGGCGCTTCGCCCGCGACAGGTGGTACTCACATACCCACGTTGGTCCTAAGGATGAAGAATCAGACCAAAACACTACGATAAGCTCACCTCACGACCGGAGCGGGGGCTTCGGCCATTTCGACTCGAGAGATTGCTTCGAGTATGACTGGGCCCTGTATGGTCTTAGTGGCGCCAAACCGACTCTTGACTTCTACGTTGATGTACACCCAAAAACAACAATACCCGACGATCTAATAACCGGACCATGGACACTCGAACAACAAAGGTTGCTTTTCTGGCTTCGCAGAGGTGGCGCCTTGATTCAGCCCGAAACTCAAACTTGGGAGGTGAGTTGATGAAGAGCACCGGGCATGCTTCACAGACTGACGTGGGAAACAGACTCTCCGAATGGGACTGCAAAACGCCGTCACACATCGCAACCCTGAGAGTCTAAACGGTCGGCTGATTCAAATGCTGCTCCTTCTGGACGACTTTTTCCCCTCCCGAGGCCTTGCGGAGAGCCAGTCTCTGTGGCCGCTCGACGTCCTGGAAGAAGAGCACGCCAAGGTGGAGAAGCTTGTCAGTGTACGAGAACGCAGCACCGCTGGCCCCTTATACGAACTCATCGAGCTCGAACGACGAATGTTTGACTATCACCGTCGCGAGGTCGACCTCCTAACGTCGAGACTGAGCCGGTACGACCGCATGGGGCCGCAATCAATGGTCGCCGTCGGACTCGTTCCCCAACCCAGGAACCACTAAGCTATGAAAAGTTCTAGGCTATTGTACATACCTCCGGACCTTCGTGACTTGTAATGATGAATACTGTAATCAAGGGATGTATTGGTGGAAAAGTAACTCTTTCAGCTGGGGTCTGTTGTGTCTGTTGAGATGGCACCGAGACTGAAGGGCACGGGGACGTTGAACGACAGCATTATGATGATACCATGCAGGATCTATGATCAGGACGCGAAAAGTTGAGCTATTGAAACTTATCGAATGCCATGCGGAAGCCAAAATGAGTGTTCGTAGTTGAATGGATCTCATATCTCCACATAGGCAACCCCATACCCCCCACAACGGCACTGCTGGTCTCGATAGACTTTTGAGAAGACGTTTGAGACAGTGTCAGAGTTGAACACCTGATGCCGGATTTCAACATGTTTACTTGTCACTATCATCACCCTCAACCTCTTTATTCTCACCGTTCCTCAGTTTCTTTCTCTCGATAGTGCCTGCCCTGCTCATCTGTCTCATGGCCATTTCTAATTTTCTTTGTCGATATCTTTCTGGACAATAAGTTTACGTCTTAAATGATTCATAATAATAATGCATTCGCTATGGTCTCTTCTAAGAGGTCTGATAAGTGCAAAAGGTATCTAGGCAGAGCTCGCACAATATTTAAAAAGCAAGCCAGTTGCCAGTGGTCTTTCTCGCAGTGTTCATAACCCTCTATCCATCCGAAAGTCCTCTACTGGGTGCACTGCACATCATCGCAGCACGTGATTCGGCCGACGTTGAGATCGTTGCATTGGATGGAACCGCAGAAGTTCTTCTTAGCACCGCCTGAGCCGCATGTCTTGTCGCACTTGATCTGTTGGCAAGACGCGCTGACGCCGGCGGCGTACATGACGGCAGCGGTGAGAAGAATGGTGATCTTGGAGAACTGCATGTTGATGATGTGTTACTGTAGAGTGGCTTGTGTCTTGAGAACTTCTTGGAGTCCTGGCGCGGAGGTAAGTCAAGGATCTGGCTGTGGTCACGACCCGAAGGTCCACTTACAATGAGATGATGGTGCTAGTGAGTTTTGGGAAACGATGCTAGGTTGATGTGTGCGAATGATATCTAATGGGAAGTCTGTCGTCCTGAGTGTTGGACGTCGTCTTATTTGTACTGATTTGACCGTTTAGAATGAATACGATGAATACGTACGTCCGGAGAGATTCTAAAGTTTAACACTAGTCAGTCCCTTGAGCGGCATAGAACTTCTAGCTGTTCGAAACGACTGTGTCGGCCACCCCGGAAGCTCCCTATTAAAGAATTACTCAACTATAGAATCAGCTCGTACCCATGCCGGACAGCGCGAACCCATAGCAAACGCACTGCATCAGGGTAGCATGTAAACTTCGGTGTTTACAAAGCTACCATTTCCGCCCGAACCACACCTGACAGCGACGTGCAGCTGTCAAACGAGCATGAGATGACTGTATCGAGTCATGCTGTACCATAGCTGTAGGGTCTCTTCTGAAACGCGAGCAGAACACGGTAACATTTTGTGTCAGCTGCTTAGACGTGTTTTAGAAGTCTGGTGCTAACTCGCCGTGTAGGCGACCCCATTTCGCGTGTGACAGGAATAGAACCAGGACTGGACTTCTGATCCCCTGGACAGGCCGGCACTGTCGGAAGGGACACGACTCGGAACGAGCCACGTAACCTGGGTTACCATCGGATCACCTTGGTGAGCAAAGTGGGCAAGGTTTGTAAGGTTAGTAAAGTGAGCAAGTTGAGCAGGCTTTACTAACAGGCTGAAGAGATGAACCAGGTATATAGAATATGCTCATCACCCGAGTAGGTAGCATCAGCTCAGGACGGCACTTCGGCATTTAATCTAAGTATTCACCCAGGAAAGATGTAACGTTTTCGATCCACCATAATCACACATAGCTTATAACAGTACCACCTTGAACGTTCCCTGAACCTTTGCGGTGCTGTGACTGCGTGGCTTCGTTGACGAGTGCGAGACCGAGTTACTGAAGGTATAGAAAGGCAGCGAGGGGCAGATTGGAGCCAAGTCAAACTGTGACTACGATTTTATAGAGAAGAGTTTGGCTATCCGGGCGGATACTTCTAGTTAACCGGGCGGGTACTAGATACATGACGATAGGACGATCAACGACGACGACGACGATGACAACGACGATAACGGTAGTGACGATAATAACAATAGCGACAATAGCGACGATACCGATAATAGCAATATTAGTGAAAATAATAATAATGATAGAGAGCAGGATAGGAATAGCGACAATAGTAGTAAAAGTCAATCGATATAAAATAAACTATCAGACCTTATAGGTAGTTATCCGCCCAGTTTAGCTAGAAGTATCCGATAGCAAGACTCATGGAGAAAGACGAGCAACCATTCGAGAACTTGAGTTCCAGTGGGGACTCTCCGGATGACAGCTCAACTCTGGTGAGGAGCCCAACCGCAAGTTGAGGAGGCTAAGTCACTAATCCCCTCCCACGCTCCGACATGCTCTTCAGATTACTTTGGTAATTATTGCTGTACTGAGACTCTTCGTAAGACACTCGAGATCTTCATCTGCGATACAAGAATGCCAAGGCCGGGATCTCATAGATCAGCTCATCCTCACTGGCTTATCTATGGGAGATCGGACGGCATTCCGGGTTTACCAGTAGTTATGGTCGACTAGCATGGTCTTCGACGTGAGAGCTTCGGGTCGAAATCGACCTTCACCTCAAGGTAGTCGACCATCTAGGTAGGCATTAGCTCAAGTGGGAAACCACTATGAAGTAGGCTCATCTACGACACATGAAGTAGAGTCTGAGCGGGGTACGAGGCACTAATGCAGTGTAAGAGCAACTTCATCTAGAGACGTGCACATTGCTCCTCACTGCCTCCGCTGTTCATGCCCAACGCAAGTGAGCAAGACATCATCTTCTGCAACCTGATCGGCTGGAATGATTGAATATTCTTCAGTTTCTCTACTTCGTTTCCAGATTACTGATGTTGTCTTCCTCGAAAGTTGCTAAGCGCCGTGAGATTTACATCACGGTCTCTATGACGAGCTTTCAGTCGCCCCACTCGTATCACATATGACATTATTGCATCCTCCAATAGAACAATGGCAGCTCTTGCACTCAGCTCTTACATTCGAGCAGATATTCTACTTGTAATTCATGGGCTTTCGGACACAATTACTGAGAACTTAGCCCCGCAAGGTTGAGGTCATGGCTTGGCTTCGGCGAAGAGCCCAACTGCGTTGTCATACGTCAGGCATGAATCCCTTCCACATCTCCCAATATCCTCCAAATCCCATTGACCTTTCCCCTTTTCAAACCCTCTTTTCAATGTTTTTGACAACACGATTCGCCTTACCAAAATGTCAACGATGGCACTTGGATCGATTCCCTCTGACGCGGACGCCTTCAAACGGGTGTTTCCCCTGCTCGCTGCTGACTATGCTCAGCTTAGAAGCCAATTGCGGATATCGAGTCTTGAGAGTCTGAGACAATTATCGAACATCTTAGACGACAACCCAGCGACTCGGAGAGAGCGAGATCGAATTTGGCATATGCGTCTTCAAACTAGCAGCACCGCGAACGCGTTACTCGACGTGGACTGCACCAAACAATTACAGAAAGCACTGGCAGCAGTCACATACAAGGGCGGCTTTGAACTTGTCAACTTTGACGACAATAAGGCCCCGATAAGGCTTTGTATCTGCTGTCAAGCATTCGTCCAACACCCCGTGTTCGAAACTTGGACGTCGGGGGATCTTGGAGGTTTAGTCCGGACACGGTCGGCGAAGAACCATCACGAAACATTATTCCAACTCATTGATTGCTGTTACAACTCGCGACCTGGTTGCCGTCTGTGTCAAGTTCTCTGGCGCTCTTTCGGGATGAGTCGACGTCAGCCGGGGCACCGATACTAACGGTATGAAGAGCCATTCAAGTTGTGTATCATGCGTTTGGAAAACAGTAGCAATATTAGCCTTGCTTCAGACATGGTTCAGTTCGTCGACAGATTCCGGCCCAAAGTTTGTCCAATGATACGTGTAAGGCTCCTGCGTAAGGTCCATCCAGAACTCATACCCGCCTGACTTTACCAGACTGACACTACCTACGTAGGTCCTGATGTCGTGGTGCGTCGAGGCCAGCCCTCTTATTCGAATGTTGGAACTTGCACCAACTCCGAAACTGCCTTTGAACGGATCCACGAATGGCTGCGTACGTGCTTTGAGAAGCATAGTGTCTGCCGCAGATATCCAGCATCGTCTCAAACACCCACGCGACTAGTGCACATCGACTGGCCGAACAGGAAGATACGGTTGTTGGAATCCGTTAGCTCAAATCCTCAATATGTCACACTCAGCTACCGATGGGGTGCCAGCCGATCCGTGTACAAATTGACCACAGAGACAAAAGTCAAGCTGACTTCAGAGAGCGGCGAATCCATGGACCGACTACCTAGAACAATCCACGATGCCTGTTTTGCTTGCCATCGACTTGGGTATAGTCATCTCTGGGTTGACAGGCTTTGCATATTGCAGGATTGCAAGCAGGACTGGGTTAGAGAATCTTCCAAGATGTCCCAGGTCTACAGGAACAGTGTTTGCACTATTTCTGCAAGCTGTGCGGCAGATGAAGACCGGGGGTTGTTCACAGACCGCAGCCATATCAATTTCCAGCCCTTCCATATCAGGATCAAACCATCCCAAACCGGGTCCCAAGAATCTCTAGTAGTCATGCCCGATAATCAGCACGAAGACCATCCAAGCGGAATGCTTGGGTATCTGGCTAACCGTGGGTGGGTATTTCAAGAGAGACTTCTTTCGAAACGTACCGTCTATTTCGGCAAAGAGCAAGTATTTTGGGAGTGCAGCGAATTACAAGCCAACGAGTCGTGGCCCTGTGGACAATCGCGCCCTCCTGGCGAGGCCTATGAGCTGGAGCTGGGCACACCTTATCATCAACATTACGTTCCACCGAGGATGGCCTTTAGGTCAGAAGCAGCACGGAAGATATCAACGACATGCAGTAGCATTCGTGGTATTCAACGGTTATTGTTGTGTCTTTTGCACCGGCGAGGGCGAGAACATGGGGCAAAGAATTCTCGGAATACTCCAGCGCGAGTGGCACGAAACCAGGATCCTTGGCCGAGGATCGTAGCGGACTACACGGCACGAGTTTTCACTTTTGCAGACGACAAATTACCTGGGCTCTCTGGGCTTGCAACCGATTTCAACAACAACCACAGAAACAACCAAGACGAATACTATGCCGGATTATGGAAACCTACCATTATTCAAGACCTTTGCTGGCAGGTTACCAGGCAGGGCAGCAAGAACTCCCTTACGCGGCAAACCAAACTCCCTTCAAAGTACAGGGCGCCGTCTTGGTCCTGGGCCAGCTTGGATTCCAAGATTCAATACGAGCACGGCGTTCAACGAAAGCCGGTGTTCCTAGTGGACTTCAAAGATATCTGCTTGGCCTACGCTAGCAGCGACCGTCACGGTGCGATATGTGATGGGTGGATTAAGTTCTCGGGTTTCTTGAAGCCTGTGAACGTCTCCTTGTATGTCGACAACAGAAAAGCTCACTTGCGCGGGCCCAAGAGAGAGATCTTGGACCTGTTCTATAATGCATATGCTACCTTCGACGTCGAAGATCCGGCTGATCAGACGCAAATGTTTTGTTTATCTATGATTAAACCGAACAATGATAATAAGGTGTATTTCCTGTTTCTTCTTCCAAGGGGAACAACGAAGCATCCGCAACCAACCCAGAAGGTGTTGGAGCTAGCGAAAGAAGGACCAGAGGAGTTCCAGAGGGTTGGGCTGGGATCTGGACTGATCAAGGATGAGACGGCATTTGCCGAATGGCTTTCACAGAGTCCCAAACAGGATGTTGTAATTCGTTGAACTGACTATTTCCATGCCCATAGATCGCTCCGAGCTACTTCACGAGACATTTTACCTTCTGAAAACTTGCAGCCTCGTTCAAGGTGATTGTGCTTGGCCCTCGTCTCCCTTTCTGTCCTTGTTGTCCGTGAGAGCCTAACTTTCTAGAAACCGACAGAGGCGAATATCAGCAATCTCCCTGCTTCATACATACCAAAAGGCGCATCAAGACATCAACCCGATCACCCTATCCGCCAAGATCCAACCGGCATACCACACCGGGACGTCGGCTCACTGAACCCGGCCGCATGTATCCGATGCACTCCTATCTGTAACCCAGCGGCGCAAACACACAAAGGACTTCCCCAATCCGTCTCGCCGACCATATTCATGCAGCTTCCCCTCAAACGCCGCGGGGCCCGGCACGCCGTATCAGGTAAACAAGGAGGGGAAAAGCGCATGGCATCAATAGAGAGGACATTTGACAGAATCGGGCAGCACACAAAGCATCGCATCAATATTGGGAGACATCTCATCTCGTAACTCTTACACTAGGTAACTCCAGTCCTCGCCGTTCGGCGTGAGCAATACCGGCCACGACCCCAAGCGCGCCGGAGACTTCTTCTCGGCCTCTTACAAAGCAAAACCTCCCGAACTTTCCGGAGAGATAGCCGCTGGGTCATCATGATCCATATCGCCTCCGCCAGGCAGGCCGAAAGCCTACGCGTAAGGGAGACCATCGTCTGCGTAGACCAACACCTTGTCAAGCCAGGCCAAATGTTCCAACCTTGTCGAAACACACGATACTTTGCACGCGGGCATGCTGCGCCGCCCCTTCTGCCTAGCAGAAACCACCCTCGTCAAAAGAAGTCAGACCTCCATGTCCCCCCATCGTGACCTGCAAGAAAAAAAAAGTGCCCGAGGGTGTATGTGGCGGCTACTCGGCCGGTTTCCCTCCCCCAACAGTCACACACCTTGAAGAAGTCGATGAAGAACAGGCACCACTCGGTACCTACACCACCTTCACCTAGCAACCATTTCGGGAAACAAAATTTTCAAGAAAAGTCGTGCTTCGTGCGTCTCCCCTAATCCCTCATAATGAATCATCTCATATGGGAGATGAGTCCACCAACCGTAGTCTAGACCGTGACCTTAACGGCATCTACATCCCTCCCAGGCACCTCGCCGCGGGAGGCAGATGTACATCTTGTCAACTCACCGTGAATGACCGTCAAAACACCCGCCGTCGCCCAGGCTAGCGTAAAACGGTGTCCCTGTTTGGTAAGTAATATCAAACCACCCATTATTACAACACCACCCAGTGAAGAAAACATCCCGGAGGAGAAGGGAGGGGGCCAACGTTGGTCGTCGCGCAGGGTTGCCAGGCGGTCGGGCGGTGTGACTCACTCACCTTTCGACCCCCATCTTATCGCCGACAAACACTTGGACGACCGAACCCAGCCCTTCGGCGTTACCCACTCCGTTCATCAGCGTCCTGTCAAACCAGTCAAGCGCTCGGTGGTTCGTCCGGTCCATCGTCATTTGGGGCAGATTTCTCCGTCTTCGGCGGCAGCGCGAAAACAAGGTTGTTGCCCAAGGTAACCAGGAACCATCATCGTCGGGCTCCGTTGCGTTGGCGGAGACCTTTGAGGTATCCGGGGCGGCGCGCTGTCACCCATGTGACCTTCGCAATCCGCGCGACCGCCATGTCATCGCACATGTTCGGAACCGTTCCGTCGAGCTTTCATCATTCATGAACCTAGCGAGTTAGTGAACGGCACCAGAGGCCGCAAAAGTAAGGCACATACACGCAGAGAGGCGCAGAGGGCTGTTTCCAGCTTGTGAGAATGATAATATGATAGGCCGCAGGCAGAGCAACAACTTGTTTCTTTGGTTCCAATAAAGCTGGCTATGAATCTCTCGAATTATAGCTTCATCGCTTAATGTGTCAAGTTTGGTGTGTACAAATAAACATGTGTATGATATCGATGCTTTGTCATCGTTCATTCTGTGTGTGGTCTTCCAGCTCGTTAGACTCTTTTCGCGTGGCTCCCAAGTAGCGGTTGTCATCGTGACCTGGGAGGACCGCGTACAAAAGTAGTATCGAGACGTGTCTCGTTCGACTCGTTCGGTCGCCCCTTTCGGATCTTCCGTCGAGCGCCCAATCACACATGCCCATACTCTGATTGTGGGCGTTTCGATTCGACGAATGAGCCCCATTCGCTTCCCATCCCTTTCGTGCAACTCCCGTATCCGAGTTGCTTGGTTTTCCTGGCGCAAATAAAAGCAAATTGCAACGCAAAATCGACTCTCTTCTTCGGGTGATCGTACAAACACACAAGTTTGCGGTCAAACAGCCGCGATAAATCCACCTTCGCCGTCCACCTCCCAAAATGCCCAGATCCGTTGATGCATGCAAGATTATCACGCTTTTCGTGCCGCGCCCTGACGCCATCTAAGCTTCTAAAAGACTTGATGTACCGCCAAGGTGGTATCAAAGCTCTTTCCGTTCCCCACCGCCCCCGTTATTTCGTTCTGACAAAGGAAATGGAGGATATTGCACAAGAAGGTCAAGTTTGATTTGACGTTTGACCCATAGGGTATCTCGGGGGGGTTGCATAACCATTGCTCAGTTAAGAATTCCCTCCCACATGCCCGGTCCGCGGTATCCGCCGATCGAGTGAAGTGATGAAGCCTCGTAGGCTGGGGTAGCCTCGGTCGCACAGCAAACGCGCTTTGAGCTCCGGTCAGGCAGGGTCATCTGGCCAGCGCGGGGGCGAACCAGCGATTGCGACCATTGCTTGCCAGAAAAGTTGCCAGAGAGCATGTCCCTGACGTTCTCCTGGAGCGAACTGTCAATGATGGAGACGCCACGGGCACGCTTGCGCGAGGCCGAGGCAGTTGGGGTGGCTCCATCGGTGCGGTAGTTCTGCAGCTCTTGAAGCGCGCGCGCAGCATCGTTAGCAGGGTCGTGAGCCATCTCTTCCAAAGACATCTCTCCAAGTCTACCCACCGGGCCGGTGTAAGACTCAGGAGACGAGGTGATGCAATGCTCTTCGTAGTCCTCAGGAACCGATGTGATTGTCGGCCTCAAGCTAACCCTCTCACTGCACAGCTTCGCAGACCGGAACCGCGCCTGAACACCCAAGTTGGGAGCCGGCGCGCTAACCAGTGATGAAGCAGACGAGATAGAGGAGGAGCGGGAGGTGCGTGACGAATCAGAAACCATCGATTCGGGTGAGGAGGCAGTCGAGATTGAGTTGGCGAGAGATGAGCGACGGACGGGGCAGTAACCCTGGGGCGACGATGTGTTGGCGATAGGCCAGCGATCCAGACACTGAGCAGCAGTGACACACGAGGCTTGAGCCATGGCGAGACCCATAGCACCCTTGCCGAGGTTGGAGGCACTCACAGCAGGAGTACTGTATCCGCTCGACTGGGGAGTGAGGCGAGGGGTGGGAAGGAGACCGAGAGCAGGAGCCAGGCGACCAGGAGTATATACAGCGGCCGGAGTGGGCTCCATGATGGTGGGGGTGTGGAAAGATCGCGGGGTCGGAGTGAGCTCCGCCGAATCAAATCCCAAGCCGCAAGTGCCACTCATGGCCAGCGAGTCCTGGGTAGCTGCCAGCATGCTGCGGTGACGAGCCCCGGGACGAGGGCTAGGAGTGAGGTTGGCGGCAGGGATCAAACCCTCAATATTATCGAGCTCGGGGTTGAGCTGGAGGATGACCATCTTCCAGTTTGAGCTCTGCTGAGCGTACCATTGCGCCGAAGTTCCGGGGGCGGGAGGAGAAGGAGGCGTGTACTTCAGGGCAATATCGGTCCATCTCTGGAAGATTTCGTCGGTGATGTGCAGCTTCCAGTCAACTGCCAGTAGGAAAGCGATCTCGTTCTGGTTGATCTCTGCCGTGTTGAGTCCTGAAATCTTACTCCAGGCTCTCGCGGAGTAGTTCCGATCTTGAAGGTACTTGGAAGCCAAGATAAGCGCGGCGAGGAACATGCGGCGGCCGCATTGAAGGGCGCGGCACTCGTGCTTGTCGTCGGGCTGTTCCATGGTAAAGTCATGCTTCGGGACGTGGGGCTTGATGAGAATCAAGTAGTAGAGAGCGACCTGCAGGGTGGAGTAGCTGGTGCGCGAGCGTCGCAGAGTCTCTTGGATGAAGGTGCGCAGCGGCAAGACCGCCTTGTTACCCAGCTCATTGCGGCAGACGGCGGAGGACAAGGGCCAAATGGCTTCGACAATCTGGGTCGATGAATCTAGGGTAGCCGGGTTAGGGAACATCATGATCGCACTTTTGCTGTTATTGCTGCTTACCGACGAGGTTATCGACAAAGTTGACCTTGCGCTCGGCTTGGCGAACGAGTGGCGGGGGAGCTGCGCCACGGGTTGCGCCTGCACTGGTCCGTCTGGGGTTCTGGCGCAACTCGGCAGGAACCGCAACAGGGGCCTGCTGAACGGATCGCTTCGCCCAAGGGCTGGTGAACTTGACCGCAGTGTCGCGCGTAACGGATCGTGAAAGGCAGTATGAATCGGCGGAATCGGAGTCGGAGGTGTTGGTGGGCGAGGTGGAGGTGGATGATTGGGAGGAGACAGCGGACCAGACAGAACCTGAGGAGGCAGACGCCAAGGATTCTACTGAGGAGCTGTAGGTGTCGTTTCGGTAGGTGCTGATGAAAGCCGACGAATCATTGTCGACGTAGTTCATCTTGGGCGTATAATGTGGGGTTATCGGCGTTGGAGAATTCGTGTTATGGAGTATACTCCAGTCGCCGTCAAGCTAAGTCAACCGGGTAAACCGTGGAAGGTTCGTTATAATCAGATCGTGGTACCGTATCGGGAACGCGAACCTCACAGCAGTGTATGCAAACTGCTGCAAAGTCCTTTAAAGTCGTAGATATGGAAGGCGGCTTCTAGACGCAAATGTCCACAGCCGACTGTACACGAAGGATCAAACCGGAAGAAGAGGCGAGACGGGCGACTGGAGTAGATTTCGCGTTTCGGATCAGAGGCATCGTTGGTTTAATGCTTCTAATAAGAGGGGAGATTGGTCTGGTTTAATGGTGAGCTACTGCATAGCCACCATGCGATCAAGTGGGCGAATGCGACAAGTTAAGTGGTGATGTTGGTGTAAGTGAGGTGGATGGGTGTGAAGTTGGTGATGGTGGGCGAGGTCGGAGTCGGGAGGGTTAGGTAAGGAGAGGAGAGGAGAGGAGAGATGGGAAAGTGAGGGTAAAATATGCAGGTACGATGATGTGTGGCTGGCCCTCGAGGTTATATCCAAGGTAGGTGGGATGAGGTGTGACTCTTTTGCCTTTGGCCTTGGGCATGCGATCTCGAACGTGTTCAGAGGGGCGACATGCTGGCGTGACGAAGTCGGAGGGCCCCTTGTGGCTCAAGTCTTGTCCAGCTGGTGGATGACTCTTCCAGGTTGCTCAAGTGGCGAAGGGGTGTACCTGGTTCGTTGCCGCCGAGACAGGTGGCCCCAACTGGCCGTACAGAATAGGCAGGGCAGGCAGAAGAGGGAACTTTGGGGGTGAGGAGGCAAGGTGACGGGGGAAAAAGCACAGAGTGCGGGAGAGTGGCAGAGTGGCAGCCTAGGGAAGCCCGACCATACAGGGGGGCGTGTTGGGTATTGGGATTGTCTGAGTGGCCAGGCCGAGTGCGTGATCGGTGGGTGGCTTTTTTTGGGGGGTGGGCTGGGCCGGAGTGGCAGAGAGGCAAAGGGCAACCAACGAGGAGAGGGAACGGAAAAAAGAGGGACTCGGGTAGCTACGCAAAGCAAAGCACAGCAAAGCAGACTGCGAAAGGCTGCGTGTATGCTCGCTTGCTTAGCTGGCCCGATGCTGTGCAGGCAGACCAAACTACTGACCTTGGGGAGAGAGGGCGGTGCAGTTACCGGCGGAAGTCTTCTCGAATGGAGATGGTTCTTGGCGATTTGCAGGCGGATTGTGGCGAAGGAAGTGCTGGGTCAGCGGGTGAGCAAGACCAGGTTCCTGTTGCTGGAAGGATGAGTCGTAATCGTCGTGTGAGTGAGTGGTTCGGGCAGTGATGATTAAAGAATGAGTATAAGGTAAGGACAAAAGGATGGCGCGCAGGGTATCGTATCGGGGTGTGTAAGGTAGTAAGAAATGAGTAACAGATGATGAGAAGGCAGCAGAGCTGGTGTTGGCTTCGTCGGGCGTCGATGATGGTGACTCGAAAAGCTGAGCTGCAGTCCGAGGTCTAGTCCAAAATAAAACCCAAGGCGAGGGAGTTGAAGCCTGCTTGTTCGTGCCTAGCGTTGAGCTGAAAATGGAATATATCCGGTGGGTGCCTTTAGTTAGTCGCAAGGAACAAGTGAATGCCGCTGCGATTTACAAAAAGGGCCTGGTGCTGGGTGTGGTGATGATTTCGGGTGAGTTTTTTGGTGGTTTGGTCCGGGTGAGTAACGTGACCGAGGGTGACCGAGATGACTCTTGATGACGGGTGTTGCGTACGAGGGTGATCCGGCAATTAGGACACGGAGATGGAGAGAGGAGAGAGGTGCGAGGCGATGATTGCAGAAACCATAAAGCAAGATACAAAGGAATAAGCGGAGATTGGTCTAGAGTCTCTTCTCAGATATTCTGAGAAGAGGCACGTCTAGCAGACTTCGGAGAGTCGCTGTCGTACTGATTTAGACCTGGTAATCGAACATTGCGGCGGCGTGAGTTCGATAGAGCAAGAAGGGAAGGGGGGGAGGACACAAGTGCACGGCGATGTGGGCGCGGCGATAGTTTTGAATGCCTTGGACGCCAGGAAGATGCGGTACGGCCAAGGGAACCCGTCCAAGGCCAGGCACTCTCCAGAGGCCAGGTACCGTTTGGAGAGTGTACCTACAGCTCCAGAGTCGCAATGCAGAACACTTGCAGCGCGACGGAGGTCGGTGCAGTGAACTGGCACCTGCTTCCCACTGGCGCCACTGGCTGCCGCTGCTATTTGGGGGTTGCTGACTGGCCAGCGACAAGTAGCAGCCGGAGGTACAGTCTGGCAGTGGTACATTTCAACCAGGGCACCTTTTTGCCTTGGGCTTGGGAACGTGGAACTGGAAGGGTGGGAGGGCAGCGCAGCAGACGGGGGGACGGGATGCAGCCGGATACCCAGCAAGTCTCAGCATCCGTCCACTGCCTTTTCTTCAAGCGCGTCGTGATTGGTGTCTCGCCGCCTTGAATAGTGGGTCCGCTCGTCTTCTTTCCCGGAGTGAGGGGCACATCGAAAACCAAAAAAAAAAGAATACGTGCCCACTTCTCTGCTCTCTCCTCGCACTCACAGCTCACTCTTGACTGGCAGGACTGTCAGTCTTGGCCCTTGGGTCTCCTCACTCATGCTGCTGCTGATGATGGGGGGTAATGGTGGTGTTACTCACACTCTCACGTCGAGCGAGCTTGATGTCCACCAGTTTGCTTGCTTGCTGGCTGAATGCCTGCGAGTATTCTCTTCTCCTCTTTCTCTCTCTTTCTCCCTCTCACGCTCACCGTCATACGCACCTAGCAGCTGCATCCCTCGACCCCACACGTCTAGCCATGTTTCTTCAGGTTTCCTCCCTTCCCCTCTGCTTGCTCATTCAGGTCTTCACATCCGGCACTTTGGGTATGGCAAGCACCTACCGAGAATACAGCCCTGGGCTGCTGGGCTGTCCATAAGGTACCGCTGCTTCTGCTATTCCCACTTGACCCAAGCCCAAGGCATGCCCAAGGTGTATGTCTTCTCCAACCAAATCCGCCTTCGATGACCTTCCATGCATTATCTGTCCTTTCCTTTGGGTTTGAGACTCTCGTAGCTCTGTGCCTGAACCTTTTGCATTTGCGTCCTTCTCTGTCTCTATCCTGCCCAACCCTGGACTGCCCCTGCTGGCTGGTTGTTCTTGCCTTTTGGCTCTGGCTTATTCCGTGACCACCTGGCTGCGCTCATCGCACCCTGTTATTTGATTGGCTCGACCTATCTGACCTTGCCGGATTGGTACTAGTCTCGCCAAGTCTAAAAGACTGTACAACCAGTAATGTGCGACAGCACCACACCTTCTCTCTGAGAAGCCCATCCTTTGTGAATTTTGGCAAACTGCTGCAGGTCAGAGGCTGGCGTGGTTGCCCAGCCCCGGACCAACGAGGCAGGATGGGAGAGGGGAAGGGGAAAAAAAGAAAAAAAAAAGGGCAGAAGAGTCATCGATGGTGACCGACCCTCCGCGCCACCGCAAATGCGCCCACGACCACGACTCCACGACACCCCAACCCAACAACGAGTGTCGACTTTGCTCGCCGTCCCATCCATCCCGCCCACCCTCCAACATTTGTTTGGGCCCATCCATAACACCGTCGGTTTTAATCATTATAGCAACAGCAAGGCATGGCCACAGCTTCGCAGGCAGCATGCGCAACTGCGGCTTGCTTGGCATCCCGTGGTTGAAGCAGTTGGTGTTTCCCGTACGAGGTGTGAGGAGCCAGAAGCGAGGGATGGCCATTGTCCCAGGCCAAGCCGATGAAGGTATCACGAGCTCGGCCGTCAGCATCCATCTCATTTCCTCCGGCGGATTGCACGCCATGCCACGGACATCGACATGGACAGACGAGGCAATATCGACACAAATGGACTGACAACAGCTGTTGTCTTGCCCCAAGTCTCGCCACAGCTGGTCAAGCTTCACCTCCAAATTTTCACTCGTCTCCCGCGTGCCATCATGCCACCCACACCCTCAAGCTTTGGCCAGCAGAGCTCAGCCAACCGCGACGCTCCCGATTACCTTAGCTGCCTTGACTAAGGAGGACAGCAAGAAACCGCTTGCCACAGATGCCGGTGCTAGCACGCAGACACACACTTCAACGTTTGGCAGAACTGAGGGGCATGTCTTTCCTGGCCAAAGCTCCAGATTTCGCTTTGCTGGCCGCCAACGATGAATGCTGCGACATATCGCGCTCTTGCTACGGGTCCGTCATCGCGCCCCCCCCCCCCCCCGGTGATATCACCCAATTTCGCAGCTCGGGGTGTTCTTCGTGAACCGACGGCACTTGTACCGAGGTCGACCACGCAGCTCCATCTGGCGGTATCCATCCAGAGTGAAGGGTCCAGTCACGGGTGCCGGGTCACACTGGTCACTGAACGGGTCTTGAGCTGGCCTGGAATTCAGGGAACCTCACGAAGCCGCCTTGGAAAGACGGCGGTGAGGTCACTGCTGAATCTCTAGTGGCTCAGCGCCTATGACACGCTGTTCCATGCCCTCCACGGCTGCGTCTGCGCCTGCGCCTGTGATGACAAGCCTCCGTCTTGCAAGCTTTGGACTGGGACAGCGGGGGATAGGTAGACAGAGCCGAGGGTCGTCTACCTTACCTTACCTCGCCAAACTTACGGGGCTCACAGCACAAAGCCTCGCTCATCTTTGTCATGGACCCTGCTGACTGGCACGCGGTCGCGGTCGCTCTCGCTGTCTCGCAAGCGCGCTGGGACCTCTCCGGCGAACGCGGGCTTCCGTCAGTGGGTATTCAGCCCCCGAAACACCGAATGCGCCCCCTAAATTCCGCCACGACCCCGCTTGAGACGCTGCTCGCTGCTGCTTTTGGGAGAGATCGAGGCATCGAGAATCAAGAGTCCGATCAATTGCTTACGGATGCGATGCGGTTACGCGCCCAATCCCATGGGAAATGGGAAAGCCGTCTTCTCCGTCCTGCGCGCCATCGGCATCAACGCCTACCTACG